CTGGAAGGCTCCTTATACCACATCCGATCACATCCAGCCAAGCATTGTCTATGGATATCAGTCTACCCTCATGCCCTCCAGATCTTTTGGACTCCAGCTCCCATCAGCCCCAGAAAGCATGGCTCCTGGTGAGCAATGCTGGAAGCTTATCTCAAATGTCTGGAGGACTCCATGCTGGGGAAGCTAATCTACAGGGTCTATTAATCAACTCTGCACTAAGGAGCAGTGCCTCTCCGCAGTTCCAGACAGGGTGTGTTTCCCAGCCCTACCCGGAGCTGTCCTTCTTCCTTGGCTCTTAAGCTGGAACTAAACCAGCACTTGTGCTGCTTCCATTGTCTCTTGTAGAGCACAACTTCCCCTTCGTGGATTTCAACCTCTCTGACATTAGGGTCATGTGCAAGAATGAGATGATGCAGTATCTGCACCTAACGGGGTTCCTTAAGCCTATAAGCAGTAGTGAAGAAACAAACAAAGCCCTCCCTCTACCTGGAGAACTAGATGTTAAAGGCAAGTTTCTAGTGTATGCTTTTCCTGGATGTGTAGTGATCCTCACTGTGGGGGAATGCCTTCTGGAAAGCCATTTCTTTATAAAGGTAGAAGTTACCAGGTGGTACTAGATATCAGACACACAGACACACAGACACACAGACACACAGACACACAGACACACACAGAGAGAGAGAGAGAGAGAGAGAGAGAGAGAGAGAGAGAGAGAGAGAGAAGACTCAGCTTCACTATTTGGACAGGTCACTTGAGAGCTGCTCAGCCAGTCGCATCTGAATGCCAGGTGCCTGTGGGAGCCAGGGTTGGGCACCTGAAGCTGTTGCTCACCCTCTGGGGAACCCTGTCCCTCAATCATGCTGTTAATAGCAGCACAGTCCCTCCTGACTGGCATGCCTTGCAAATCACATGAGTGTGTTGTGACTCCCAGTCCGTTTAGATCAAGTGGATGAGCATTTATGTGAAACGATTTACATTTGTCTTCAGCAGAACAGACACGATGGGGATGGGGATGTATAGCTGCTTTCTGCAGAGGTCCCATGCAGCATTAGTAGGCAAGTCCCTGTTTTCGCTTTTTGTCTGAGGCTGGATTGTGTTACCCTCAAAGATGCTTGCCAAATTCTATGGCTTATTTTTGTTGCTTGAGATTGACCATATGTAGCTTTGATCTCTGCTTAGTAGGCACTTTGGCCACTTGCCAGTTTTGGCATATAACTTCCTTACTTGATTCCTTTCTCATTGTCAGCAGCCCCAGACCCCTCATCCTCTTTTGGATGTAATGGTATTTGCAAACAATAAATCTATTTTACCCTGCTGTTCTTGGCTACAGATTTAGAGCAGAGAGAGTGAAAATCCCACTGTTTTGATTGTCCTGATTGCAATGGTTGCATGAGAAGCTTCCATGTCTAGTCTGAGAAATACTTAACTGTACAGGAAAACATCACGCTATCTAGAATAGGAAGTGTTCCTGCACTTCAGTATATTACACATATGCACCCTGGCTATTCCTTTCCACCACATCTTAAAAGCATTGACAAGAACATGTGCCAAATACCAAGATAGGTTTCACAGATATATCCAAATCCTAAATACTAGATATTCACAATTCTGGTATATCACTGAAAACTTCCAAGCCTGTTAATCATTTTGGTACATTAAGTTTATTTCAAAATGTTAACCAATAAATTGCATAGAATCAAAGCAAGGATTAATAAAATTAATAAATAATAAATAGGTACATTGAATGAAGCCCACAGGGACCTGTCAAGAAATGGCACGAGATTTTCACTAGTTCAGTGTGCCACATCTTTTCAGCCAGGGCTGTTTTTTAGATGTTCATGGCAGATTATGATTATTTGCCATGAAAATATTAATTAATAACCCTATCTGGAGCATATTCTGTCCACGCTTGAACAGAATCTTCATGTCCTCCTGTTGCCTAGGTATAATATCCTATAATATTCTACAAATATCTCTTATATCTGGAAAAACTGGGTTGGGATGCAGAGACGATCAACTGACCAGTCAACTGATTGCCTGCAGCTGTCAAAAATCCCATGATGTCAAGATTTTTAGTTCAGGAAATTAATGGAGAAATGTTTTAAGAAGGGATTGGAAGGTGAGAATACTGGTTTGACAGAGAAAAGTGTTTCAGATAAAGGAGACCCCATGCCAATAAAAGTATGAACAGGAAATCAGATGGGCAATTTTATATCTTGGATGTAAAACACAATCCTGTATTTATACAGAAAACAATTCTACAACTCCCAGAATTCCCCAGCATGGCTGGCTGGTGAATGATGGGAGTTGTAGGATGTCTTTCTAGCTAAACATGGATAGGAATGCCAGAGGCGGCTGGTGACTCCTATTCCCATGGGGCGCCTTATAAGATGCAGCCTTTATTCTGAACTGAACAGAATAAAGTTATCCTGGAGCTCCATGGCAGTGAACCTATTTTGGAGATGGAGGTTAGCACTGTGGATAGCTCCTATAAAGCTCAGCATAAAAGCTGCAATGGATAAGGAGCTGCACAGACACAGGGTGCACCAGCTTACCCTGAGGTTTGTGCCGGGGTGGCCATGCCAGATGGTCATGTGCAGTCGCAGGATCAATACTCCCCAAATGTCATTCTGTGCTACAGAACTGCTTCTATATTCTGGATCTGTGACAGTAAGAACAAAAATATTTCCCTGTCCTGTCCTTTTGCATTTTCAAATCAAATCATAGCACCATCACAACTACAGGCATAAACAAAACTTCCTCCTGCTGACCAGATGCTGCTTGCATCACCTGCTGGCATCTTGGCAGTCACAGCGGTGGGGAGGCTGGGCTGGGCTTTTCTGCACTTTGACCCCGAGGTCCAGCTCTAGCTGAAGCGTAGATGCTATATAAATTCCTGAAGATGACGGTTGCCACTGGGGATGTAAAAGCTCCAATGGAATCTGCAAGACGCTGTTATTGTCCGCTCCCATGCATGGATTCTCAAAAGTGCATTCTGCACTTGGCATTCACTTCTGGTTAAACAGGACCTGGACATCTGGGTTCTAGTCCTCACTTGGTCATGGAGCTCACTTGGATGACTTTGGGCCAGTCAGTCACTCTCAGCACAACCTACCCCACAGGATTGTTGTTGTAGGGATAAAATGGAGCTACTGTATATCAGCTGCCTTGACTTCCTCACAAGCGAAAAAAAGGCAGCATATAAATGTGATGTAATAATAATGCTTAGGATGTGGGTGGATAATGATGTGTCACAGTGCTATCTTCAGCATGGAAGAGAAGTTATTCTGATACATTGTTTTGTCTTAAGACCTGATGGCTGCTGCAAACAGTCTTCTGTGATGCATGCAAATTTCTGGCTATTTCTGTCCTTATTTCCATAGGAAGCTGGGAGCCATTGATAGGAAACAGAGAATATCCTCATTTAGATCTTGTGTAAAAAAAACAAAAAACATTCAGTATACACCTCCCAACTCTTAAATTCTATTGTTGGTCTTGCAGCAGAACAGTCACACTTTAAACAGGGTTTTTTCTTCTCCTTTCTCTTCTTTCTACTTTTTAAAAATAACTAGCTTGTCACCTGGATTGCGGCTGAAGGCAATCCAGGAACATTTATTTTAACAGTGCTTCAGCTACAAGTCATTTGGATTTATTGGGATTGGTATGTTCATATGGTCAGTCTCATGGATGGATTCTGGATAAACTTCCAAGGAATCCCATGGCTTTCAAAAGAACACAGGAAAAAAGTGATGAAAAACCATGGCAGGATAGCACTTGATTTTTTTTTTTTTTTTTGGCTGAAAATTGTTGATCTTAAATGTCCCTAATAATCCAATTCATTTTGCCATCTCAGCTAAGGAGAGGGCTTGTATCTCAGTGTCTGAGCATTTGGCATGTATAATGACTCAGGTTCATTTCTTGTAGGGCTGCTAAAGACCTGGTCTCAAACCCTGCAAATCAAAGCAGATTGTACAGAGCTAGCTGGAGTAATGACCCACCTAGAATATAAGGCAATGCTTTATGTACTCTGTTTTACTGGATGGTTGGAAAGGTCTGGATTTTGCCAAATATGCTCTGCATGTGTTCTATACATTGGAAGATGTCGATTCAGTTGCCCAGTCACTTAGGAAATTAAAGCTTTTCTCCACTTAAAAGGGTATGTTAAAAATTGCTGTGAAGTATGTACATAATTTATGTGAATATACATTACTAAAGCATTTCTGAATAGTGTAATGTACTTCATTTGACTCGCTTTCCCCCTGTGAATTACAACTTTTTAAAAGCCATTAATTCACAGGTAATGGTCCAGTGCAGAAATCATGGCCTAAATTTACAGAAATCTGTACACCTTTGAAAGCCTTTCGGATTCTTCCTCCATACCTATGCATGGGCACACTTAACATTCCCCAAATGTCCGCTTTCTTCTGGGATATTGTGCACCTCGTCCTGGGCTCTGGCATTGAAGAAAAACTCGAAGGTCAGGCCTCGGGGAGCTCTCTCTAAAAAGCGACAGGTCTTTCGGCTTTAGTCCCTGCCTTCCTCCTCCTCCTCCTCCTGCACCGCGTAGACGACCCTAAACAGGCTCTGTGGCCGCCACCTGCTGGATGAAAGAGTCCATGGTGCCTAACCAGCCTCCAGAGGAGCATCCGGTGAAAGAAAATCCGCGCGGACGGGCGGGGAGATCCCTCCCCGCGCCGCGTCCACCCGTCCGCGCATCCAGCCCCGCCGAGGAGTTCGCGACGCTGCCGCGCTCAGCGTCTCCGCCGCACGGCCCGCCTGCGTTCACGCGGCGCCGAGGCCGGCGGAGCGCAGGGAGCCAGCATTGGGCAGGCGGGCAGGCGCGCGCTCCCAGCAGCCCCCTCAGCCAATCAGAGCCACGCTGCGCGCCCGCGGTGTGCCCCGACTGGCTGAGGCGGGCGCGATGCCCTGGCCGCCTCCGGCTGGCGGTTCCGGCGGCGGCGGCGCGGCGGCAATTGCGATGGCTCGTAGTGGCAGCCGCAGCAGCGGGCGGCGGCGGCGGCGGCAGCGGCGGTGACCTTGCGGAGGACGCGAGCGCGGCGCCCCGCAGCCCTGTCGCCGCGCGCGCCATGGGCAACGTGCCGTCCGCGCTGAAGCACTGCCTCAGCTACCAGCATCTCCTGAAGGAGCAGCTGTGGATTGGCGAAGCTGCCCCGCCGCAGCCTGCCGCTCTGCACCAGCCTGGGCAGGTACTTGAGGGCCACGGAGTCGGAGTCGGGGCCGGGGCCAGCGCTTGGCTCTGGAGGGTCCCGCGAGGCAGGCGAGGCGGGGGGCGCCGACGCCTCAGCCGGGGCTGGTCAGGTGCCGCCCTTTGGAGGGGATGGGGGGATGCCGTTCCTTTGCCTCTCTGAGGCGACGCCTCCTCTTCACCTGCCTAGAATAAGAGGGAGGCGGCCCAGCTCGCATCCCTGTCGAAGCAGCACCTCTGTTCGCTTACCGCCCCCTCCCCGGGGGCAGTTAGGAAATTTAGCTGTGTGTATCCCATCCATTATGAGCCACACAACTCACGTTTACCTTGCCTTGCAACTGCCATTTCACGTTTTAAAACTGCGTCTGCACCCTGATATGTTCGGACAACCACCGCACTATTTGACAATGCTTACTTTAAAAACCTGAGTGCATGAAGCTTTGCATTTTAGATGTGCCTATCTTTTATGCCATCATAACTACCGGAGTAAGATCTTTGCTGTCCTGATGTGCACATGACCTGCCACTGGGGGTATGGGGGATTGTGGACTTTGACCCAGTATCTCCATTGAGATGAAACTGGCAGGTGAATGGTGGTGCTTGCTCCTTGCATCTGCTCCCTTCCCTCATCCATCCCCTGGTCCCTTACTCTAGACGCTGCCATAGTTGGGCCTACTGAGAGCTATCACAAGTTACCTCAGTGCTACCCAGAGAGAGAGAGAGAGAGAGGGAGAGGGAGAGAGAGAGAGAGAGAGAGAGACAGCTTCCCTCTAGCTGCTTACCTGCCCTCTGCCAGGATATATCACTTCCCCAAAGAGAGCACAGGCAGGAGGGCTGCTGCTGCTGCACTTGTTTCTCTGCCCTTTTGTTCTGGGCAGTGCAGTGGCAGGATGCGCTTTCTCCAGGCAGTTTGGCTGCTTCTTGCTGTGCTAAGCAGACGGAAAGATTGGATGGTTCTGAAAGCAGCTCCTTGTGCTATCTGTTTTCTTGCCTGCCTGCCTTTCAGCTTTTAAACTGGGCCCTGGTGGTTACTTCTGTGCTGCCCAGAGAGAAGGGGTGATGCAAGCAAGCCAAGGTAGAGGCAGGTGACCAGTGATGCTTGGGTTGCTTTATTGACAGTTGTTGCAGCAATTAGGATTGGGCCTGGCAAGCACATACCAAACTGCTATGTCACGTGAGAAGAGAGAGAATGCCTTGCAGTCACATCTGCTCCCTTACCTGCCTTTTCATTCCAGGCAGTGAAGGTTGGACCTGCTGGTGCCAGCTCTAAGAACCCAGAGAGACAACCCAGATTGTGATGGCTGCATGGCTTTGCCTCCCTCTGGGTGGGGTTCTGGGACACCATAGTGCTCCCAGAAGGAATCCCCTCTGTGTTGCCCAGAAAGAGGGAGCACAGGAGAAGGAAAGCTGCTTGTGGGCACCTCTGCTGCTTGCTTGGATGCTCAGGTAGTGAGAGATGCTGCTGCTGCTGCAAAGAGAAGCAGCTGCCTTTGCTTGTTCACCGTTCCTTATTCTCAGGTAAGCCAGTGGCCCATGGTATGGAACATGAGGAGGAGGGGGGATTGTGGCCCCACCAAGGGCATGTGGCCAGCTGGAGCGGAGGAAAGCATTGGCACAGCGAGCTGACCTAGCTGAGAGGAAGGGTTAAGCTCTGCCATCTCAGTATCAAGCCCAGAGACATGGACCAAACCAAATGATCAGAAGTGGAGGAAATGCTTGTGATGAAAGACTCAGAATGAACAACTCCAAGGGCAAATGCAATTTTGGCTCCTGTGTCTTTAATAGCTGGAGAATACAAGGCATTTCAGTAGGTGTGGGGGAACTGGAACTTCTACTTTTACTCTTTTATGGGCTGAGAGGTGGAAGGCTAATGGGTGGTGATTTCCACATAGATAAGGAAGTGGAGTTGTATGTAATGAATGGCATTTATTTATACCCTGTCTTCCTGCCAGAAGACTGTGCTTAAGGTGACTAACAATAACATTTAGTTTGAAAACAAAATTAAATAGTTGTAATATACAAATGCAACGCATGGAATAGAAATAAACAGCAGCGGACACTTAAAAACCTCTTCAGCAGCAGACCAGCTTATGTGTCAAAGGCTTGCCTGAATTAAATTTCCTTAATTTCTTTTGAAATCTATCCTCAAACTTAAGATTATTTCTAAAGGTAGAGGTGGGCATCTGAGTCAAGTAAATATTAGGGAAAAGTTAGTTGTGTACAGGGTGACCCAGGTGCTGCAGGCATTGCTAGCAATTCAGGCAGTTCTTTCTTCCTGTCCAGGCCAAGGTTCTCAAACTTTGTCGCAGTACCAAGAACAAGTTCCCTCACCCTCAAAATACTGTGTCAATGGAAAGGATTAGTTGGCTACAGTTATTCTAAGCCAAGGTTGTGAGGGCAGGAAGGAACAAAGCAAAGGGGAGAGGTTGCAGATGGCTGCCACATAGCATGGGGCTGTGGAATGCCTTAGATTTCCCAAGGGGGAGGATTCAAATAAGCAGGAAATAAGCTTATGCCCACGGGAAATATTCAGCTGTCACACTGCCCTCCCTCCAGCATGGCCAAACGGCATGTGATGTGGAAGGATGGGGGGGCGGCGGGGTGCACAAAGGACAGAGCCTCTTCAGTTGCACTATTTTCAACCTTTGCCTCCTGGCAAAAGAGCTGAATGTTAAAGGGTTTCAGGGGAGGACTCCTTCTGCAGCTGCACCTTTGGGTGGCTCACTTCAGATTTTAAGAGCTGCAGGCTTCTCTGTGAAGGGGTGCATGCATTTTTTTAAAGGGGAATTTAGTGTGGCCATGATTGAGGTTGTCTGACACCTTAGAGCTCTCTGAAGGACTACTTTGTCATCAGTGTTTTTGTTTGTGTTTGCACAGGGGAATTTGTTCTCCCCTCCTAGTTAAGAAATGCATGCATGGATGGTTAAAAATGTGTATGATGATTGCAAGAAATAATGATGATTTCAAATGCAGGGCTGGGTTATGAGTTTAAAATGATTGGTTACAGGCACCAACTTTATAGAGGGTTGTGGAATGCTTTGCTGAGAAAAGTTTTGCTGAACATTTCAGCAACTAACATGTGAAATGCAAGGATATGTTGAAAGATGAATTCAGAACAAATTCTGGCCTATCTCTGAACTTTTGGAAGGGGTACTAATACCTTTTGTTAGCTTAAGCAATCTGAGAGAATACTGAGGGAATTTCCAGGGTCACTTCCAGACTTTTGAGGGTCCTTGAGCAAGAAACCGTCAATGGGCCCCCTCCCTCAGTGAGTCTGTCTTCTCACTGCTGTTGTCATCAGCTGCTATTGCTCTCCATCTTCTTTATTAGGGATGTTTGTAGGGGATGGGTTAGGAAACCTTTTAATACATAAACATAAATGATATCATTCCTACCACCTGCTTGCACGCCAGGCAGAAATACATGGAGCAGTGCACCACTGGCATGCAGCCCCAGAGTGCATCTCCAGAACTCTTGGGGTGAAAGGGTCGAACATCCCTGCTCTAGAAAGAAACAATTGAAATGTAGCTTAGGGATTACTTAGAGGCTACTTCAAATGTTAAAGCTGCCAGAAATAACTTGCATGGTAATGGGACAAATCCCCTTTCTCTTGCAAAGGACTGGGACTTTGCCCGGCTGGTTTTCCATTTTTTGTGGTTGGGCATCCCAGGGAAAACGATGCTTGTCCTTGTCTCCAGCATGTGAGGAACTGCCGCCAACATGCTCTCATGAAAGTATACTTTTGCTGCTAGCTGCACATTCAGTTGTTATGTATACGTGGGATTTAAAAGCCCCGTTTGAAAAAAACTAGTGCCAAGGAGGCTCTAGGGACTGATTCTCCAAAAGATAATGATGAAGGTGCACAACAGAGCTAAGCAGCAAGCAAATGGCACCTTCATTAAGCAGAGGTCGGACGGAAGAGCAGGTCAAGCCAAGGGGTAGGCAGAAAAGAAAGGAAGAAGCTAGTTATATCATGGACAAGAATTACATAGGTTTACTGCATGTCTGCCTATAATTTAAGCTTTAATTTAAACTGTTTAGGGTACAGTCTTATACAGAAAATGTTCTACAAACCCCAGCATAATGGCTGGCCGGGCAAAGTTGGAAGTTATAGGACTTTTTTCTGTCTAAACATTCATAGGGTTGCACCCTTAAAAGTATTTCATGTGGACATGAAGTTTCACAATGATAAGGATGTGTGGTTTATTAAGAAGTATAATGCTGGGTGTTGAGAGAAGAACCAAATATTTGGATATAATGGAATTTGAATAAAGATGAGTTTTATATAAATATTAAAGGAACACATCTAGAGAGAATACTGACTTCAGCCATAAGGGATTGTGACTACCTTTTCTGCTGGGGTTCATGAATTGTTATATTCTGCACTGTAGGAGCGCAGTGTACCAAAGTACAGCAGAACCTCTGTATCCGCAGGGTTAGGTGACGGTACCCCTTCCTCTTGCGAAGGGCTGGGTCTCTGTGTGGCTGGTTTTCCAGTTCTATTAGTTGAGCATCCCAGGGAAAATGACGTGACTTGCTGTGGCACAGACTAAACCTCACTTGTGTCATATTGAGGCAACTCAAAACCATTATTGTAAGTCGTCCTGAGCCTATTGGAAAGGACGGGATAAAAATGTTTTAAATAAATAAAATAAATAAACATTATCAAATGCTTGGATGAATGGGAACAAAAGCAATATTACCTTGATGTGTTCATATAATTTTTGCATTGATCCTCCACATGCACATGCATGCACACACACACTTGTGGCCTATCAATGGACTGAAAGAAAATGGCTACTATTTATTTATTTAATACATGTATTTATTGGCCGCCTATAACTTCTTAGGTGGCTTACAACGCATTTTATCATTTAAGAACATAGGAAGGTGACTTACACTGAGTCAGACTACCATTTTATAAAGCTTCATATTGTTGAAAATGATTGGCAGTATTTTTCCAGAGTTGCAGTTAGGATTCTTTCAGTCCATCCATCCATCC